GCTGGAGAAGGAGAAAATGCCCCGGAAGGGTGGGCGGTGGTGGTTCTCCTGGCGACGCAGGGACTTCCCGGCCGAGGAGGTGGGTGGCCACGGTCCCGGGGTGGGGTCAGCCCGGGCAGGAGCAGACTGTTCACTGGATGTTCTTCCCACAGAGAAGTGCCCCGAGGGAGAAGACCGCGGCCCTGGAGGCAGGGGGGTGAGTGGCTCTCTCGGCTGGCGGTGGGGAGGAGGGCTGTTGGAGGGTGGGAGTGGTGCAGGCACCCCTCCCCCAGCCGTGGTTCTCTGTCGCTCCCTCATCACTCCTACACCCTTTCTTTCTCCTGAGAAGCGCCCCCATTTCACAGATGGGAAAACTGAGGCTTAGAGATAGACCAAAGGCCCCGCAGCCGAGAAATGGCAGAGCTGGAGTGGGTGCCTCGACTCCTGGCCCAGACAGGGGGTTCCTATAGTAGGGAGGGCAGAGCCCCTCCTCTCTGCCTGCTGATCTTGCTTCCCTTTTCACCTCCGAGCTGAGCCAGAATGCCCAAGGCGGGAGGGCGCGCGGGAGAAGGTGGCCAAGGTGAATCCACGCACGGCAGCCAAAGCAGGTTACGTTTGGGCGTAAACCGTAAAACACATTTCTGGCTTTTTAGGTAAATACCTCCCGGCAGGTCTGGCATCCTGGTTACAGAGAGGCACCGAGGGCCGAGAGCCCGGGCCCTGGCTCCGGCTCTGCCACTGCCTTTCTGGGCGGAGGGAGGGGTTTCCAGTCCCCTGGCAGACTCTGGGCCGCAGGCTCCCGGTGGCCTGGGCCGAGGGGCGTCACCGGAGTGCAGCGCCTCCGGCAGGCGGGCGGAGGTGCTGACAGCTGGGTGCCCGCAGGGAGAAGTCGGATGTCCTGAGCAGCGAGGAGGACGCCCCCGACAGCCCCGTCATCCTGGAGGCGCCCTCCCGGCCGCCCTTGCCTCCTGCCTACACGCCCGCCTACAAGAAGTCCCTCCGCCTCTCCTCGGACCAGATCGTACGTGGGTCCCGGGGGTGTGCATGGGGGGTGGCGGGGGTGGGGGCAACTCTGTCAGAGCCCCACGGCCACTGAAGCCCGGAATCCAGCCCCTTGGCAGCCTCTGAACCCCCCCGGAGATGGGCTCGCTGCTCTTACTGCCGGTCCATTTGTGTCCTCCAGTGCCCTCGCGGGAGGAGCCCTCTCTCCGCCTAAAATACCAGCCTGTAGCGGGCGGCGGGCGGCGCTCTGGCCCTTGGAGGCCACCTACAGGAATCACATGTTGGCCCTGGGTTCACGGCTCTGAGCTCAGTAACAGGTGGCTCCCGAAATAAGGATGTTTTCCCTCTGAAAACATCCCAGGAGATGCCTGGGGGCCGGGCCAGTCCAGCACAGAGCGGCTGCCACCTACGTGGTGCCCCGGAGCCACCCCGGCGATGGCTGAGCTGCCCGCCTCCTTCCCTGTGGACCAAGGGAAGGGTCTCTCGTTGGGATGTCACAGGGCCTTTCCATACAGTGCGGTGTCTCCCTGTCAGGGGCCATGCCTGCCCCGGGGCTGGCCTGAGAAGCTGGAGTGGGAGCTGCGGGCCAGGCTCTGTCCTCGAGCTTCACCCCAAAGGAACACAGAGGGAGGTTAGGGCTCCTGTGCTGGCCCTGTGCCGCCCCCCACCCCACACCCCCTCACTGCCTCCTCGGGCCACCCTCTGCCACGTGGCTCTCTGAGGGATGCAGGCGGCTTCTCTGAGCCAGGAACGAGAGGAGAAGGAGAGGCCTGGGGGTTGAAGGCCACAGTTTGGGGTGGCAAGGGGCGGGCGGTGCCTGGCTGTGGCTGATCACAGCTCTCCCCACCTTTGCCCGGCCCCAGCGGCAGTTGAACCTGCAAGAAGGTGCCAACGAAGTGGTCTTCAGCGTGACCACCCAGTACCAGGGTACCTGCCGCTGCAGGGCCACCATCTACCTGTGGCAGTGGGACGACAAGGTGGTCATCTCGGACATCGACGGTACCATCACCAAGTGAGGCCTGGTTGGTGGGGGTGAGGGGGGAGGCCTGGAAATGTGCTGTCTTCTGCGCTGGGGGCGGGGCCAGGGGAGAGCCCTCCCCAGTGCACCATCTTGGGGCTGGGAGCTGGGCCCCATGCCTGGAACATGAGGGCCACCTGAGGCTGCCTTGGAGTGACCCCTCCTCTGGGATCTAGGTCGGACGCTCTGGGCCACATCCTGCCCCAGCTGGGGAAAGACTGGACACACCAGGGCATCACGAGTCTCTACCACAAGATCCACCTGTGAGTGCTGGGGCCGGGGCAGGGCCCCAGGGAGGGAGGGAGGGAGCGGCAGGACCGTCTAGGTTGCCATAGCCCCGGCCCTGGGAAGCCGGGCTTGGGGACCAGCAGGGCCCAGAGAGGAAGAAGCTGAGCCGTGTCACTGAAGTGCCGAGACCCACCCACCAGGCCTCCCGAGGAAGACTCGTCTCCTGGGGCGTGGGATCGGGGTCTGACTGCTGGGCTTCACGCTCCAGAGCAGGGGTCCTCAGACTTTTTAAAGTGGGGGCCAGATCACGGTCCCTCAGAGAGCTGGAGGGCCGGACTATATTAACTACTCATTCCTACTGTAACACCTCGGCTGTGCTCACTGCCCAAAAAACCTGGCGGGCCGGATCAGACTCCTCTGCGGGCCACATGTGGCCCGCGGGCCGTAGTTTGAAGACACCTGCTCCAGAGGAAGTCTGCAGACTGGCTCACACCTTGTCCTCTCAGCCTGCCCAGCTGTTCTCCTGGACCGCTCCCTGCAAAGGCCTCTAAAATAAGTCTGGAGGCTTGAGCTGAGCTGGCTGAAGCCAAGAGGGCAGGATGGGTGGTGCCACCTGTCCCTGTGCCGAGAGAGTCCCCCTCATGGCTCCGTGCCACCCGTCTCCACCCCCAGAAACGGGTACAAGTTCCTGTACTGCTCAGCGCGGGCCATCGGCATGGCCGACCTCACCAAGGGGTACCTGCAGTGGGTGAGCGAGCGGGGCTGCGGACTCCCGAAGGGCCCCATCCTGCTGTCTCCCAGCAGCCTCTTCTCCGCCCTGCACAGGTAAGTCCCTGCAGGGCACGAGCCCACAGCCCGGGAGGGGGTGCGGGCCCACTACCCGCCCAGGCCGGCACTGGGCCCATGTCACCTGACCTGCCGTCCTCCCATTGCTCCCCCTCCTCCCTCCGCTGCCTTTCCTGCCCCGGCCCCACCCCGCAGGGAGGTGATTGAGAAGAAGCCAGAGGTGTTCAAGATCGCCTGCCTGAGCGACATCCAGCAGCTGTTTCTGCCCCACGGACAGCCCTTCTATGCCGCCTTTGGGAACAGACCCAACGTGAGTGTCTCCTCCCCGAGGCCCGAGGCCCCGCTCCCCGCCCCGCAGCCCACCAGCCCCTCCCTGTCCCCGTAGGACGTCACCGCCTACCAGCACGTGGGCCTGCCTGCATCACGGATCTTCACTGTCAACCCCCGGGGGGAGCTCATCCAGGAGCCCATGAAGAACCACAAATCCACGTGAGGCCAGACCCTGCCCCGGGTCCCCGGGCCCTGCCCTGTCCCCACACCCCAGCCTCTGCCTGGGCCCCAGCTCCAGCCCTGCACCGGGGCCTCTGTGGCTTGCCAGGGCTCCCAGGCAGGGTGCAGCCGGCCTGATGGGATGTGGGGATTAGGGGGGACGCGGCCCGGCAGCAGCTCAGGCCCTCAGTGCCGGCCCCTTCTTGCTCGCAGGTACAAGCGGCTCAGCGAGGTGGTTGAGCTCCTCTTCCCGCCCTTGGACCGTGGCCCCAGCACAGACCTGGCCAGCCCTGAATACAGCAGCTTCTGCTACTGGCGGGAGCCGCTGACCACTGTGGACCTCGACACCCTGGCCTGACCTCGCTTCCTCCCTGGCCTGGCCCAGGACTGACCAGGGATCCCAGGACATCGGGGGTGGGAAGCTCGGTGCCGCAGGACCAGCCGGACGTGGAGCGGGGAGATGACGGCTGGTCGGCAACCTCGCTCCTCCCTGACCTGTCCCCTGCCTCTGCCGGCGCAGCTGCAGGGGGTGGGCGGCTGTTCTGGGCCTCAGCTGGCCTGCGGCGATTAAATGACTGTCACCTGGGCCCTTGCAGTGTTCTCCGAGACCTCGATGTCTCTGTCCCTGTCACTCTTGAGACTCTACCTCAACTCCTGATGGGACAGAGGGAAGAGGGAGGCCCCACTGAGGCTTGAGAGTGGTAAGCAGAGGGAAAGGCTGGCGGCGGGGCACAGACTCGCATCTGGGAGGAACACAAGGCCCCCCCACCACCACCCCTTCAGGGAGCCTCTGAGGCCAGGCCCTTACACAGCCCTGGCCCCTTCCCACAGCTCTCGAGCCAGACACCTCAGCACGTCCCCTGAGGATGCAGCCCCAGATCCTGCCAAGCAGGTGGGGTTGGCCTGCCGCCCTCCCCGAGTTCGGTGCCCACACAGCTGCTGAGCAGACTCTTGCCCGAGGAGCTGTGGGAAGCAGGACAGACACCCGCTGCAGTCATCCCTCCCACCGACTCTGGGGAAGAAAGTACCTTCAGTTTAGAAAGGCTAAAAGCTTTAATCCGGCCCTCCCGCAGCACCATAACCCTCCCCGACAGCACCATAACCCTCCCCGAGAGCACCATAACCCTCCCCGACAGCACCATAGTGGAGAGCGGAATTCCAAAGTGTCCAGAAGCTGGGAGGCAGGGCGACTGGAACTTGCAGAGCAGCACAGGGGTGGGGTGCGGGGGCCAAGCTGCCATGGGGAAACTGAGGCCAGGAGGGTCTCTGGGACCTGTGCAGGCCAGATGCACGCTCGCACTTCCAGATTGCTCCTTGGTCATGTTCCACCTGCATTCCTCACGACTTCATGACCATCCAGGCGAGGCGTTTGCAAGGATTCTGGGAACGAGGTCCGGAACCCTCTTCCTCCAGCCGTGGCCTCCTGCCCAGGGCTTGGCCCCATTCCGGCCATGACGTACATGAGAGTGGCCCTCAAGATTCTCACACACGAAGAGGAGGGGACCGTGTGGGGATCTCCGAACAGATCCCCTGGGCCTGAGGCTGTCCTCTGGGAATCGACAGATCCCCCAAGCCCCCACCTTGGGGGAGGACCCAAAGGAATAAAGAGAAGTCGTGCCTGAGTCTGTGTGAGTGTTCTGCCCGGAAGGGCGTGTGGTGGCGGGAGCCTCCGGTCCTTGGTTCAGAAATAGCTTCTGTGGAGCTGCCAGGTGTGAGGACAGGGCCGATGGGCAGCACCTTCCTGCAGAGGGCGGGAGAGAAGCTAAGGGGACAAAGGAACCAGGAGCCTCCGTGGGCTCGGGCCTGCTGCCCGTGGGCAAAGGGGCATGTGGACAGGCCACTGTCTGAGAACGGACCTGCAGTCTTTGCCCAGGAGCCAAGTCATGTCTGCAGAAAGGCAACTGGCAAACTGGATGGTGAGGTCTCTTAGGTGTGCAGGCACGTTGTACTCGCCTTGGCCACTGCCCTGAGCTGTCCAGTTGGTGCAGCAGTGAGCACGGAGGTTCATGTCTGAGGCAGTCACGTGCAGCTGGACCAAGACTGTTCCTTCAGTAGCCTCTGCAATGGCCGAGGGAGGCTGGGAGCATGGTCTGGGCTCTGGGGCGATGTCCCCAGGGTTGGTAGGATCTGAGGGGTTGGGTCCTGTCCAGCCTGCCTAGTTGGCCCGCCCCGGCCGCCCCTGCTCCGCCAGCTGGGCTTGGCAATCCAGCAGGTCATCCCGGAGGCGGGCGATGTCCTGTGCGTGCTGGGCCAGCGTGCGGTTCAGCCGATCCACGTGGCCCCACAGGCCCTCCCCGGGCCTGCGTGGGTCAGCGGGCAAGCTGCTGAGGTCTGCAGCCACGGGGCCCAGCTTCCCACACACGCCCTCCACTTGGGCCACCCTCTGATCGAAGCGGCCCACCGCCAGCTGGAGTTCCTGGGCTGTGTCCTGGCAGCGGCTCAGCCCGCCCGCCACGCCGGCCACGCCGGCCTTGAGCTGCTCCAGCTCCCCCCGCAGGCTCAGGACCTGCCTCTGGCCGGCTCGCAGCCGCGAGCCCTGGCTGCTGACCTGCTCCTGGATGGCGTGGACCTCGGCCTCCACCTTGCGTTCCCGCTCGTCCAGGGAGCTGTTGGTGGCCAGGAAGGCGTCGGAGTACTGGCTGACGGAGTCGCTGAGGCCTGTGAGTGACTTGCTCACGGAGTTCAGGTTGACCTTGAGCAGGGTGATCTCGCCCTGGAGCGAGCTGCCCGTGGCTTCGGCCAGCTGCCCCTGGACCTCGGCCACGGTGCCGTTGAGCTGCTGCAGTAAGGCCGTGTGGCCGGCCACCTGGCCGAGGAGGACCTCGATCTGGCTCTGCCAGGCCTTCACTTCCGCCACGAGGTTGTTCAGCACCGCCGAGGTGGCGCTGGGGGCACAGGAGGCCTCCAGCGAAACCAGCCGTTGCTCCAGCACGGCGAGCTCCGCCCGCACCAGGGGCCCCGCTGGCCTGCCGCCGAGCTCCCCGGCCAGCGCCAGCAGGCGCTCCTCCAGGCTGTGCACGCGCTCCTCCAGCACGGTCCTGAAGCCGCCCACCCCGCCTCCCCCCTCCCCCACCCCCCCACAGCAGCCCCGCCCTCCGCGCTCTGTCCCATTGAGGGTCTCCGGGCCCTCGAGAAGTCCGTCCACACCCCCGTCGAGCATGGCAGCGGAGAGCCGCGTGAGCTCGTCCCCGGTGCCGGGGCCGCCACGGCCCCTCTGGACCTCGGTGACGGCCTGCAGGTTGCTCTCGAGGCTGTCCACGCGGGCGCTGACCAGGGCGAGCTGGCTGCAGCAGCTGCCCCTGCCGGCCACGCTCAGGCCCTGCAGCCGGGTGCCCAGCTGCGAGAGCTCCCGGCGCAGGGCCAGCTCCCGGCCATCCAGGCTCTGGTGCAGCCGCAGGCTGGCCGCCTGGCCCTCCTCGCACTGCCGCCGCACCTCCTGCACCCGCAGGTCGCACGCGCTCTGCACGCCTTGCAGCTTCTGCTCGAAGCCGTCCAGCAGGCTCCCCCAGAGCCGGTGCAGCCGGCGGTCCACGTACTCGTCCAGCAGGGCCAGGGAGGTGAGCGGAGACGGGGGCGCCTCCCGGAGCCGCTGCGGGTGGGCCTCGTGGCCGAGGGCCAGCCCGTGCACCTCGTCCAGCAGCCGCACCTTGGTCCGCAGCGTGTCGCTCACCTCGGTCACCTTGCTCAAGATCTCATCCAGAGGCGGTGTGAGCGGCCCTCCGGCCCCGTCTCCGGGGTTCGCAAACCCCTCGGGGATGCCTCCGAAGCCCACACGGGGATCAGGAGCTCTGTTGGGGTCCTCGTGGCTGGCCACCAGGCCGCTGAGGGTGCCGTATGCTTGTGCCAGGCGCTGGACATCGCCCTCCAGGCGTTCTAGCCGCTCACCAAACAGCCCTAGGCTTTTCCGTCCTGCGAAAGAGGAGAGAACCCCAGGGTGGGATCGCTGGCCTGGCTCTCCCAGCTTGTCCCGGTACCATGCCACCTGGGAGACTTTCTGTCCTAAGCCAACCTTGCTGGGCATAGCTCTGCTTTTGGGGAGCGAGCCTGGGGGCTCACCCTTTTGCCCGGCACGAGATGCACCCTCCCTAACCCTGCCCACGCTCAGCTAGCTTGGCTCAGTCCCCTTCCCGCCTCCCCCCGGAAACCCAACCCATGGGCAGACTCACCGTAGGGGCTGGGGGTGGCTCTGCTGGAAGGAGGGGGCCTGGGGCCTGGGCTTAGCTGCCCAGAGGGAATCTGGGGCTCCGGCTCCGGCTGGGGGGGCGCCGCCCCGTGGTCTGTGAGGTGCTCGGGGCAGCCTTCTCCAGTGAGCCCAGGGCAGCAGCGCCAGGAGAGTTCCGTCACCTTCTTGTAGCCGAGCTTGTACTTGGGTCTGAGCGCCGTGCGGTACCTGGGCCAGGGGTGGGGAGAGGGCAGGGCTCGGTGTCTGTGGGCTGAGGCGCCTGCCTCCTGGCAGGTGACCTTGCCCCCGGGCTGGTGTTCAGGGCCACGCTGACACCCAGACACAGTCAGGATGTCCTGCCTCCACAGCGCCCCCAGGGTTCCCTCGCCTGTGCTGAAGGCAGCAGGGCCGGGGATGGAAGCAGGTCTTGCCAAGGCTCAGAGAAGGGTTAGGGGGGCGCAGGGAGAAGCCCCACCTCATCCTGTGAGCCTGGGGAAAAGGGGAACAAGAATTTAGCCCCAAGTTCTTATACCTCCAGTAGGATATGATCTCACTCATCTGGGGGAAACGGTGAACAACATAGACTGATGAACAAGAACAGACCCGGAGAGAAGGAGCCATGGGCCAGACAGCTGGACCTCAGAGGGAGGGTGGGGTTAAAAGGGAGAGATCAACCAAAGGACCTGTGTGCACACACAGGAGCCTAAGCAGTGGTCAAGGACAATAGGAGGGTGGGGGATGGGAATGGGGGGGATGAGGACAAATATGTGATATCTTAATAAAGAAATTAAAAAAATTTTTTTTTTCTTTAGCCAAAACTGGTCTGGCTCAGTGGATAGAGCGTCAGTCTGTGGACTGAAAGGTTCCAGGTTCGATTCCAGTCAAGGGCATGTACCTTGGTTGCAGGCACATCCCCAGGCGTGCAGGAGGCAGCTGGTCGTTGTTTCTCTCTCATCAATGTTTCTAGCTCTCTATCTCTCTCCCTTCCTCTCTGTGAAAAATCAATAAAATATATTTTTAATTTTTTTTTAAATAGAGCTACAGTAAAAAAATAAATTAATTAAAAAAAAATTTAGCCCCAAGGCTCCCAAGGTCACCTGGACACCCTGGAGCTCATCCTGCCATCAGACATTTCCCTGTGGCTTTGGTGGGACCCTGAAGAATCCTGACAAAGGTTGCTGCTCTGGCACTGGGGCAAGCAGCTCCTCTCACTGCCCCCGGGGCCACTCCGGACTCCCAGCAGCTCCCTATCCTCTCCACTCCTTCCTCCCCTACCCCGGAAACCCAGCTCTGGTCATGGAGGCTGGCGACCAGGCACCTCTGGCTTTGAGCACAGAGGTGAGGGGCCCGGGCGGGAGCACCTGTTCCCCCGCTGGAGGCGTACCTGGGGCACGTGCCCAAGAGTCCTGAGCCCACAGGCTCGTCTTCAGTCCCGCACTGGAACTCTCCAAGCCAGGGGTCCTCAAACTTTTTAAAGTGGGGGCCAGATCACGGTCCCTCAGAGAGCTGGAGGGCCGGACTATATGAACTACTAATTCCCACTGTAACACCTCGGCTGCGCTCACGGCCCAAAAAACCTGGCGGGCTGGATCAGACTCCTCTGCGGGCCGCATGTGGCCCGCGGGCCGTAGTTTGAAGACGCCTGCTCCAAGCACAGACCTGAGCATCCCCCCTGTGTGCAGTACCGCACAGCCTCACAGGGCCCGTCGGTCCGGTCTGAGCCCCCTGGCGGGTCCTCAGGGCCCCTCTCAGACACCGGATACAGTCTCGATGTCTTTCTGCCTCCATACACCCCGTCCCCTCCCTTTCCTGTGCTGAAGGCGACAGGGCCCCACACCCTCCCCCGTGGCCTGCCCTCTCCACATCACCACAGCCCTACCTGAGTCTGCCCGGGGCCCCTTTGGCATTAACCACTGCCAGTGTGACCCTCTGCTCTCCCCTGTGCCCCCACCCCCACCCCTTGCCCCTGCTTCTTCCTTGCCTGGTGCTGCCTCTCCCCTAGAAACCCTCCCCTGGTGCCCATGTGGGCGCTGACCAGCCCAGCCTGCCCCCACCCCTCCCTGGCCCTTCCACGGGGCTGGTGTGGGCTCTGAGAGAGTCTCAGCTCAGGCAGGCCCGGGGCCTGGGCCCAGGGATCCTGAGTGGGCGGGACGGGGGTGCACTCACGTGACTGTCCCGGGGCACTGGGGCCCCCATCCACACGGCCGGTACTCCGCCTTCACGTAGCTCTCGGCTCCCTCCTGTAGGACACAGGTCACATTCCTGTGCACCACGTAGGCGCAGAGGGCCCTGCAGGGAGAACGGCAGCCTTGGAATATCTGGCCCGGGCCAGGCCCCCTGAAGCTCCTTCCCCCCCTCCTGCATCTGGAGGCCTCAGCGCGAGAGGGGACCCCCGTCTTTTCTCTCCTGCTTCTTCTTATTCCTGGGAGCCAGGGCGCTCGGCCTGGGGTCCCGCCCACTGCTGGTTCCAGCCTCCCCAGTGGGTTGGTCACTGGGTTCAGCTCTGTACTGAACCAGGAGTCTGGTGCCGCTGCCCTCCCCTGGTCTGCCCTCTGCCCTCCCCGCCCGGAGAGGCCCGCCCTGGATTCCGCATCCTGGGCTTTGCCACACTCTAACTCCTCCACTGGCTCTCGGCTCTGCACCTTAGCTCTGGAGGCGTCTGAGGTCTCACTATGGTTCCCGAGGCCTTTGAAATCACCCTTCTCTCTTCCTCCCCTGACCGATGACCGGCTCCTGGGGCAACACACCTGCCTCGTACCTTTCTGGCCCCTGCCTCTGTTCTGCTTCCTCATCCTCAGATCACTTCCTCCAGGAAGCCTGCCCTGATGTGCCCAGGCCCGCTCAGTGTCAGCTACTGGCCCGCCCTCTCCTCCAGCACCTCTGACATGCAGCTGGAGTTCAAGTGCAGCAGAGCCCCTACCTCGCCCCGGGGACCAGTTGGCATGCCACTGCCGCCTACTCAAGCCCAGATGCTGCGGAGACAGGGGAGCGGCTGCAACCCCACTCACAGGCCACGGGGATGGGACGGCGGCCGCCAGGCATGCACCGGCCACCTGTGGACGGCGTGGGGCTGCAGCCACAGCACCGACCCAGGAGTCCCACCCAGCCGGCTCTGGGCCCACCCACGAGGGTGCTGCCCAGGGGGCTGCTGGGGCCAAGCTCACCGAGGCGCAGGGCTCCATCTCCAGCCGGTGGGGCAGGGAGGGGAGGGAGGGGAGGTGGAGGCCCGCGCCGCGTGGGGGAGAGCGCGCCCCGCGTGCGCACCGCCTCCCCTCCCTCCACCTGGTCCCAGCGCCCGGCCGCACGGCGAGCGCAGCTGGAAAATGTTACTCCGCTGGAGAGGTTTCCGCGGGCACTGCCAGCCCCCGCCGCCCGCCAGCCCCGCTTCCCCTTCCCGCCGGCCCGCGCCCCGAGGCGGGGGCTCCTGCCGCCGGCGCTCAGCGGAGCCGCCCCTCCGCGCCGCCGCCCGGGCCGTGCCTGCCGCTCCGCGCGGCGGGCAGGTGGGAGCGGCCCCCAGTCCCCCCGGCCCCCTGGCCCCCGTCCCCCCAGTCCCCCGGCCCCACTGTCCCCGGCCCGCGCCGCGGCGCCCTGGCCCCCAGGCCCCCCAGTCCCCCCGCCCCCCGGACCCCTGAGCCCCCGCCTCCCGGCCCCCCGGCCTCCCATCTCCCCGGCCCCCCTGAGCCCCCCGGCCCCCCGCCCCCCTGGTCCCCGGCTCCCTGGCCCCCGTTCCCCCGGGCCCCCCAGTCCCCCGGCCCCACTGTCCCCGGCCCGCGCCGCGGCGCCCCTGGCCCCCAGTCCCCCCAGTCCCCCCGCCCCCCGGACCCCTGAGCCCCCGCCTCCCGGTCCCCCGGCCTCCCATCTCCCCGGCCCCCCTGAGCCCCCCGCCCCCCCGTCCCCCTGGTCCCCGGCTCCCTGGCCCCCGTTCCCCCGGGCCCCCCAGTCCCCCGGCCCCACTGTCCCCGGCCCCACTGTCCCCGGCCCCCGCGCGGCCCGCCTTACTTGTGCGGCCCCGGGCGCAGCCGCGGGCGCCACCCCGCCGTGTAGAGGCTGAAGCGGGGCGCCCCGGGCGGCGCGGGCCGCGCCAGGAGCGGGGTGCCCTTGGCCTGCGCCCCCGAGAGCAGCGCCGCCGCGGCGCACAGCCACAGCGGCAGGCGGCCCATCGCCGCCGCGACCCGCCGTGCGCGCCCGCCCGCCGCCTGGTCCGCCGCTCCGCCCGCGCTCCGCCGCCGCCGCCGGTCCGCCCGGAGTGGCCGCTGCGCGGGAGGGCCGCGGAGGGGCGGGGGCGGGGCGGGCTCTGCGCCGATCGGCACGGACCCGGGCCTCCGCGCTCCGCCGCCCCTCCCTCCGGCCGCCGCCCCCCGCCCCGCCCCGCCCCGCCCGCCAGGAAGAGGTGAAGGAGGAAGCGGCCCGGGGCGGTGGGGGCGCAGGCCCAGCTCCCCCATCCACATGCACCGGGGAGCAGCGGAGCCAGACCCCCGGGCTGGCCTGGGTGCGGGGCTCCCGGGAGCCGCCCCCCATCCGCCCCGACACATCGGTCTTTAAGCCCCATTGTGCACCTGGGGCCGCCGGAGCAGAGAGGACCGGGCTCCGAAGCCGGGAGGACCGGCGTTTGCGCCCGCCAGCACCTCCTTAGCCACCTCCTGGAAACAGGCCCCGGACCCTCCCTGTGGGCAGCGCTGCCTCTGGGCACCCCCGTGGTCCCGAGGTGCCCAGGACACGGGATAACTGCTGCGGACTCCTCCTCCCTAAGCCTCTGCAGCCTCATCTGGTGGCCGTCCCTCTGGGTTCCTGGTGGGGTCCGTGTCATCCCTGCCTCCCTCAGCCCGGGATGCGCCGCTGCTTTCGGAGCATCTTGGAGCTCGTGGCTAGCTGGACCGCAGCGCTGGCTCCTTGTTAGTATCTGTTCAGAGATAGCCTTCAGGTGTTTCCAGAGGGCTGCTGTTGAGCCAGGCTTCCTCCATCCTGATTCCAGAGGCTCCAGGGAAGGACCGTGCCTCTCCTCCGGGTCCCCTGGCAGTCCTTGGCTTGTAGCACATCACTCCGGAGTCTGCGTCTGTCTCCACGTGGCCTTCTCCTAACCAGCTAGACTGTGTCCTCTCTTCTCATAAGATCCCTGGCCATAGAAGTCAGGGCCCCGGGCAAATCCAGTAGGACCTAATCTGAAGTAACACTGCAAAGACGCTATTTCCACAGAAGGCCACCTTGGAAGGGTCTAGGTCCATGGTCAGCAAACTGCGGCTCGCGAGCCACATGCAGCTCTTTGGCCCCTTGCGTGTGGCTCTTCCACAAAATATCACGGCCTGGGCCAGTCTATTTTGAAGAAGTGGCGTCAGAAGAAGTTGAAGTTTATTTTTATTTTTATTATTATTTTTTTTAAATATATTTTATTGATTTTGTACAGAGAGGAAGGGAGAGAGATAGAGAGTTAGAAACATCGATGAGAGAGAGTCATCGATCAGCTGCCTCTTGCACACCCCCTACTGGGGATATGCCCGCAACCAAAGTACATGCCCTTGACCAGAATCGAACCCAGGTCCCTTCAGTCCCCAAGCCGACGCTCTATCCATTGAGCCAAACCGGTTTCGGCAGAAGAACGTCCTGTTGGTATTTGGTTCTGTGGACTGATGAGTTTGCCGACCACTGGCCTAGGTGGACATACATTTTGGGGGGCACAGACATGATCCAACCCACAGGATGCCTGCGGGGTGGTGAGAGGACAAGGCGTGTGGTTCTGTGGCCATGGCTCTGCGGGAATTACGGTGGGGGAGGGGGGATGCTAAGGAGGAGAATTCGCCGGGAGAGAGGGGCAGAGTGGAGAGGCAGTGGCCATCTGGTGCCTGCCTTCCCCCGTCTGCTCCCAGTCACCCACTCCCCTTGAGCTAGCTCGAATGGGCTTCTGGTCCCGGCGACCAAACGATGCCGGTCTAAGTGAGACAGTCTTTCATCCTCCGCCACAGGCCCCCCGAACGCGTTACTTTAATCCCCCGCCTTCCACGGAGATGCCAGGAGCCGTGTGGCTGAGGGCAGGATGCGGCGTCCAGGGCGCGCTCCGCCCCGCGGGGAGCGGGAGACATCGGAGGGAGATGCCCGGCCCTGCCCCTCGCTCTCTGCCGGCCGGGCTCCGACTGCCTGGCAGCACCCTGCCCCGTGGCTCTGCCAATAACCCCCTCCCCGTCGTCCCAGCAACTGCGATCCTTTTCCAAGGGGTCCCGCCCCTTCCTCTTCCTCCTCTCCCCGGCCCAGATGTGGGGCCCGCGGCTCCCGGGGAGGAGGCCAGATCCGGTCTGAACTTGGAAAAACCCACACAGCAAGGGGCTGAGGGCACAGCCGGACCGGCTCCCCTTCCCCCGGTGGCTGACATCACACCGTGTTTCATTAGAACGGTCTCGGGAGCCAGCGCTGGGGCCCCTCCCGGCGGGGAGGGAGCGCGTGGGTGGGTGGGGGTGGGGACGCTCGGGGTCTTGGCTGGATCCAGGCAGAGGCCGGGGTCTCCCCCGCAGAGGCTGAGGCCACTCTGCATGTGCCAGACAGGAAACCGAGGCAGGCCGGAGGCAGCGGAGGGAGGCGGACCTGTCCTTCCCCCCAAACTCAGACTGGAGTTTCCACACCTGAATGGAGGCAGTGGAGGGGCCAGGCACAGGGTCACACTCTCTGTTCATGGGGACGTGCACGGCCACAGCCAGACACATGTGGTCCACCCCACACCAATTCCCTGTACACACACACACACACACACACACACACACACACACACACACACACAGAAGCATACTTTCACCTCTCTCTTCAGGAGGGACAGGATGCCATCGGGACAGCAAGGGAACCTGGGCAGGGAGCAGAGTCTTGCGTTTGGGGTCCATCAGTGAGTGGCACCGTGGGGGGCGTGCGTAGGAGCCTCTGCCAGACCCTGAAGCATCCTTCCTCCGGGGCTCTCTGCTCTCGGCGCAGAAGGAAAGCCGGCTCCTGGGACCCAGAGGCGGGTTTGCACGGTGGTGACCCCTCCCCTGGGACAGCCCTTCCAGGCCTCCGAGGGCTTCCCAGCACACCAGGCTCCTCTCCCTCTCCAGGCTCCTCCCACCTCCCAGGTTGTTCTCTGCGTTGTATGGAGGCCCACCCACCACACAGGGTCAGAGAGAGCGTCACAGAACCTTATGGGAAGCCGTTCCCCTAAAAGAGACAGAAGTATGCTGAAATTGGTTTGGCTCAGTGGATGGAGCATCTGCCTGCAGACTGAAAGGTCCCGGGTTCGATTCCAGTCAAGGGCATGGACCCTGGTTGCGGGCACATCCCCAGTACGGGTGTGCAGGAGGCAGCTGATCGATGATTCTCTCTCATGGATGTTTCCAGTTCTCTATCCCTCTCTCTTCCTTTCTGTAAAAAATCAATAAAATATATTGAGAGAGAGAGAGAGAGAGAGAGAGAGAGAGAGAGAGAGAGAAGCAGAAAGCCCTGACCTGCTAGCTTTCTGGCACAAGCCTTTCCCTCCACGGAGGAGTCCCCGATGGGAGAAATTCACCTACCCCGGAGTCCACAGGTGGAAGCACCCATCCTAGGACCCAAGCTCTGGCTCCACTCCCCCCCGCCCCCAGCTCCTTTCTTCCGAGCCTGCGCAGTCCCCTCCCTGCCCACGGGGCCACCTGCGGACGTTCTGTGCAGCGAGCTCTGCCCAGTTTCTGCTCTCCTCAACATAAACACCGGCACGCAAAACCCGGGCGGCATTTTGATTGCAGGTCCACAGCTTCAGAGAAGGTTACCGTTAAACCCGCACGCCGGCTTCTCCGGGACCCCGGGCTGTGTCCATGTGCAGCCCCAAGGCGAGGGCCTGGGAGAGGGCCCAGAGATCATGGACCCCGGACTCTGAAAAGCCAGGAGGGACTGCCACCGAGTTCGAGTTGCTTAGAAGGGATCTTAAAAAAAAAATCGTGCAGTGCTGGTGGACCCTCCGTGTGGACACATGCGAACCAGATGCCATCGTTTATGCAAACGATATGCAAAATATATGGATGGGCCTCCCAAGGCTCCCAAATGCCAGATGTGGCCCCTGGGGACCCCGAGGATGCCTGATTGTGGGGAACGGAGATGACCTCGGACGCGTCAGTCTCTTGTGGTGGACAGAAGGGGCTGAGCTCTGAGGCTGTTTGTGCCCCCGGGGAGGGGATCCGACAAGGAGCCGACTGGGCCCGGGGTTTGAATCCCAGCGCCTCCATTTGCACGTTGCGTGAGCTTCACGGAGCCATGTCACCACTCTGAGCCTCTGTCTCCCCAGCTGTGAAACAGTTACCTTACCATGAGGGCTACACGCGAACATGGGCTAAGCCGCCATCTGCAGGGCCAGGCACTGAGAGGCGGACGTCTGGGCTGCTTTCCACTCGCTGAAGCTGGTGGCTGCCGCAACAGGACCCTCTCCAGGGGCAGCCTCGCGGCCTGGGCTCGGGAAGGTCAGTGCCGATGGGCCAAGTACCCACGTGCTCCTCGTTTGTCCAGAAATCTGCCAGGGGTCCCACTTGCCAGGGGCTTAGTGGATGCCTGTTGAGCCCGGACAGGCCCCATTGTGCCCAGCAGTGCCCCCGCCATCCCCCTCTGCACGAGTGGTGACGGCTGATGCTCACAGCTGCCCTCCCTGTGACCTGCCCTCAGACAGGAGAGCCACCTCCCCTGGGAAGTCACAAACCCTCCACCCACAGCCAGTGACTGGCCGAGACACGGCACAGGAGACTGGCCTCTTCGCTCCAGGGGTTGAAGGTCCCAGGCGCTCAGATTGGGCCACAGCCGGGCTCCACCTGCAGCCGCTTCCTCACCTGCACGCAGAGCTGGACAGTGCACGCGGTCCTCACCGAGGTCCAGGGCCCAGGGGAGGGGGGGCCACAGGAAGGGCCTGGGTGGCTCAGAGATGTCCCTGGAGCTGCCCTGTGAGGAGAGAACACCCCAGGCGGCAGGCGCAGCGTGTGCGAGGCCAGGAGGCAGGATGCTGCTCGGTGGGTGTGCGTGGAGAACCGCAGGGCTGGGGGGGAGCCTGTGCTCTCAGGAGCGGGCCCTGAGAGAGGCTGCCGGAGACCACACAGGAGGGACCGGTACCCCAGTGAAGAGCCTGGCGGCACAGCCAGGGCACAGCGCTCAGAGCTGCTGTCATGGCACAGAGCTGGGGGGTGGGGGGGAGGCTGCCAGGAGGCGGCGGCTGCTGACG